CGTGCGTGCGTGCGTGCGTGCGTGCCGTGCTTGGCAAGCCAAGCAGACGAATCGAATGAGCATCGCGCAGAACCAAGATAGGAAATCTCATCATCAACCACCATGGCCTCTGCACGCAGCTCTGCCAGCCAAGCATTTGTAACGAATCACGAAAACTCTTCTGCAATTCTGGAAGTCTTGAGCCGGTGAAAGGTCTGCCTTTGTGTGAGTAAAGATCCCATAGAACGCAGCAGCAGGGCCGCCGAATTGCTTCTCAACGCGAACAGCCTTGGATAGGGATACATGCACGAGAAACTTGCGCTGTGTGCTGATGCTTTGAAGACTGGCAGGTGGCGCAACCCGTCGCCAATTGTTGCTACTTGCGAACTGCAGGCATTACTCTTCCTCTGATTCCAGCATGATTCTATGATGCGGCAGATTTGCCGTTTCGCCTGTCGAAGATGCGGGCGGGCTGCATTTGCCAAGAAGAAGAAGGACAGGTAGTCGCGCCAGTCCGATTCCAGTGCATGAGCCTTTACACAGACAGCCCAGGTGCAAGAAGACATGCAAACTCCACATCAGCCTTCCAGAAATCCTCCACCGTTTGCTCAAAGCAGTAAGCCCCACGAAGGTTCCTGCACGAAGTCTGTTGCTGCCCTGCAAAGTGGACTGTCAAAGATGGCTGTGGAGGCAAGTTTGAGGTCAGCACGGATAGAACGATCCGGGCCTTGTTCTGCCACGTGTATTGTAAGCTATCGACTACCGAGGATGGCGTAAGAAGTTGCGCTTGACATGGTCCCTTCTTGCACCACCGTGCGTCTGGCGAGCCCCGTAACTGGCTACCACTTCGCAGTAATGCTACGAACGCAACTGCCAACATCGGGCCGAGCCGAGTGATAAGTCCCATTACTAGAGTCAGAAGCACAGTCTTTACAGCTGAGCCATCGGCTCTGTGCCAAGCGGGAAGATTATGGCCTCAGAGCAGCGCGCGACGTGGAACTTCTGCTACCAGTAAAGACTGCACAGACCTACCACCGTTGAAAGCCAGTGCGGGGTTCATTGTTCATGCTCTCGCCCTCGTCGGGATGGGGGTTGTTGGACTTAGCTGCTAAGCTGTTCGCGGGATGGCACTTCTCCAGGCTTTGGATACACATGCTTCATAACACCTACATAACCCTGTAATTTGAGTCTAAACCGCAGACAAGAACGAACCAGAGATGCTACGCAAGCTCTGAAACAGTGCCGGGTATGAAGGCCCCGGCAACAGAGAAATTCTCCTTGAGCAGAGCAGCATGCTTGATTCGGTCCAGAAGCACCTGCTGAAATGATGAGCATGTCAGACGTGCAAATGCACCCAAGGCGAACGAAGCTAAGCAGAAATCCACCATGCCTTTCTGCCTCTCTGCTCTCGTCTGACAAGCTGAGACATGTTTTGATGGTTGCACCATGTTCCATCAGGTAAAGTCAAACTCGCTATGCTACCGCAAACCTTTTACAACAAAACAGACAAAGAAAGGGCGCTCTTGGGCATTCCGTGCGATGCTGTCTGCTTGAATTGATCACACGCTCAAATGGTATGCTAACGTTGGTTCACTCGTCGCGTGTTGCAGCTGACTCGAGTCGTCCAAGCGCCATGAGGTCTTGCAACCTCTTCCTCCACCGGTGTCATTGTTTTTGTTCGGACGCGCGCGTGGGTTTCTGCATGTGTGCATGTATGTATGTATGTATGTATGTATGTATGTATGTATGCATGCATGCATGCATGTGTACGTATGTATGTGAGTGTATGTATGCATGTATGTATGCAATTATGTATGTATGTGTGTATTTGTATGTGTGTGTATACATACATATATATATAGATATATATATATATATGTATAGGTCCGGGATCAAGAACCCCAGCAGCAGGCAGCAATGGGCACGCTACCGGCCGCAGATGAACAGATGCATCCAAGAGGTCATGAGACGGTGGATCCCCTGAAATGTGTGGGTTGGAGGTCCTCTTCATGCACGAAAAGAGTTTCCTCAAGTGACTTCGCCACCGAGGCCATGAGGACTTACTGACCGTTCACAGCAGCTGCCGCAGAAGACGCAACCAAGAGGGCTAAATCACCTCTATCGCAAGCTGTACATGTTGAAGTGCTTCAAGGGGAGGTTGGCCGCAGAGATGGGCAGCGACTTCCTGGGAAGCGCTGGTTTCGTGGGAGCGACGTGGGCCTGTGCAGATTGCAGATGGAGGCTATGCGCTTGGGAGGGCGGTTCAGTGTCACCCTGACTGGAGTCTGGACAGACAGATGACCATCGAGAATCCTGTGGAGCACGAGTCCTGTCGAAAAAGTGAAATCGGCGAGCCAAAATTGCCTGAGCCTGCTACCGTGCATTGGCCACAGTGTTATAACTGTGTAGGATTAGCCCCTGCAGGATCCTGCAGCGACCTCTTCCAATCCCAAGAGGAACGGCTCAGGGTGGTGTAGTGGCGCAATGACGTTTGAATCTTTGCTACGTGGAATCTTGCTCGTAATTCGCCTCATCTGTCCGCGAGGAATATGCGTGAGCCCGTGATTAATTTCTATCTGCTTCGTCTTACACACGCTGTGTACATAGGATTGCACAATCTTTTGCCGTGCTTATCGTCCCTGCCTGCAATAAAGTTTCTGCCGCATTAGAGCTTTTGGTTCAATACCAGTGGCGTAGTGCCTCTGTGAGGGCTTTCTTATGCTGGGGCACGGCTGAACGTACACAAAGGCGCGCTTAGGTTTAGTTTTGGGAGCACGACGCGCCAGTTCGTGGAGGGCTTCTTGGTTGTCGTCACTGGCCCGTTAGACTGCATTGTGGCTTCCCTTGCTCTATCTTGGGGTTTCGTTGATACCTGTTCCGGATGTTATATAGCAGCCCCGAGTACATACAGCGGCCCCGTGAGGTTGACCCAAGCTCTCAGCAGAGCTGATTTCTTTGCCGGCGGGCAATTACAAAATTGTCGGCGAGTACTACAGCTTCTTTTCGAGCCTCGCAAACACCTAATTATATGAATGTTTTGCGGGCTGCATCCGACTTGGATTCTGTGCCTCTGGAAGTGCAAGTAAAAAGTGTGTACATGTGTGTGTGTGTGTGTCTGTGTGTGTGTGTGTGATTGTCTGTGTGTGTGTGTGCGGACCTCTGTTGCCAGCAGGAAATGTCAATGGCTTTCTTGCAGGGGGCAGAGGGTCTCAGTTCACGGTCTCTGCCAACGAAACTCCGTGAAATTGAGACAGGTAAACGTACCTGCAGTGGTCGGCATGGGCACATTATAGTGCAGCTTGTGACCACGAAATGTCATGCTTTTGAGCCAGAAAGAGCTCATGTACTTTTCAATTTTGTGCTGTGCTTGCATGTACGAAGAGTCCAGTTGCCTTGTACAGCATAACAATCTGCAGAACACAACTGATCAGCCTTGAGGCCAGACACGTACCGGAACCCTTGAAAGCTTCATGCTTTCGTGATACATCAAGCAGTGCTTGATAACCAACTGATGAGTGGCTGCACGATGCATGCCTAAGTTTCTATGTGGGTCTGTTTGTGTGTGTATATATATATATATGTGTCTGTGGGCATATGTGGTGTACAGGTGTGTGTGTGTGTGTGTGTGTATGCGTGCATGCACCTTTGCATGCGTGCATGTCTCGGCTTGGATATGTCTGCGAGTTTCGCCTCTGACTTATACCGTTAAGCTTTCGGGAAGTCTTTCCCCGTCAATCTAGTGCACAGTTAGCTAGGGCCCAGTTACGTCATGTTTTTCATGCACGAAATCGAACTAGTAGTGTTGTTAACAATTCAAAACAATCACAACTTTGGAGCATTGGCTTTCCCATGAGTTTCCGTGACTTTACACGGATTGGGCCAGTGGGTGACCTACTCGATCAAAGCTGCGAAGCTGTGAAACTTCGACAGAAGCTTCGGAGCCGCAAATGGCAGGCCGTGACACTTACAAGTGTCATTGGTAATGTGGCTCAGGCCCTAGCGCGACCCCCACAAAAAGGAATAGTACGCAAGCCCTGAAACACCCAAAAACCCAGACCCTAAAACAGCACTCCAATCTCCACACCCCAAGCCCTGATCCCTGCAGAAAAGGAGGCTATCCCTAAACCCTTAACCCGAAACTTCTCTCGTGTCACAGAAGTTCTCGTGTCAAGCCGAGCACAGATGTCAGGGCCTGACACGAAACCTCCCGCCGTGACACCGTGTCACGCCGCAGCTTCGCAGCAGCTTACCGCCCAGGCCCAATCTACGTATTTTTCGGTTCTGCCTATTCGCACGCGACCATACCAAAACTAAGACAGCAAGTGGAGCCTCCACGAACAATCTTTTCGCTGCGGCGCTTCCAGTCAACGTCGGTATCGGTGGTTCCTTCGACCCGGAGGTAAACAGTGTCCTCCACGGCTCCTTTAACCCAGACCTCTGTAGGTTCGCCCTGAGGAGCTGTACAGAGAAGGGAGATGCGGCACTAGTTCGGGGCAAACTACCGTCAAATGTTGAGCGCAACCTATCACCTCCTGCAACAGTCGCAGAGGGATCCTCTTGCAACCCATTTGCAGTTCAGGCTCACTCGGACAGAACCGAAGTCCACGTGCAATCCCCAAAGGAGCTGCACTGGGCGGAACGATGCGGAGCGCCACAGTCGACAACAAAGTCGGAGCGACTGGGGCTTTCGCCCCGGTACGGCCGCTGTTACATGGCCCACGCCGCGGCCCAACGAAATCCGGGCCGGCGGTTCGCACTCGCCCATACCGAAGCTGAAGGCAGCAAGTGCACGTTTTTCGCAAGTAGCGGCGGAGCGTCACAGTCGAAAACAAAGTCGGAACGGCTTTTGCCCGTTGGGCCACATTGTGACATTGTCCACGCCGCCATAGCGAAACCGAAACCGACACAGACCAATACGACACGAGAACCGGTTCAGTGTGCTCCACGGCAAAGAAAGAGGGGGCAAGCCTACCCTACGGCCACAGAAGCAGAAGCAGGAGGCGGGCCCATTCCGTTTTGCTGAATCAGCGACAGTGTCAAGACTGCAGCTGGTGCAGCTGAAACATTTCGTCGCAGGTGTAGAAGTGCCTGCTACGGTACTTTGCACCTGGGTGGAACACCCAAAACGCGCCCACCAGATCTGGATCGCTGATGATCGCTGCGTGTCCCCTGATGTGAAAAAAGACCCTCTGCGGAGGAACGCCGCTCAAGAGCGGGTGTCGTCCTCCTCCTTGCACAGCCCCAGCTTGAGTCGCGTCGGTTATAACCGGCAGCTGCATCCTCGCGCACCATACGAAGAGAAAGGCCTCGATGGAGAGCTTGATGCGAGGCATCTTACTTTGCCAGTGACACGGCGTCCCAGTGGCACCATCGGCCAGCCTATGCTGACTGTAACTGTGAAGGCACGCCCATCTTCTCGCGGCGGGGTCCTGGACCTGGATTTTTAAGTTGAATATTGGCTGGCGCCCACCATTGTGAAAGCGCTGACCTCTGGGATGTCCTTTTGCGCCGCTGCGGGTACGGCAGGACCTGAGAACGTCCACGGTTCGCGTCAGTGTCAGCAGGCCACCGAGACCCTGCACCAGCTTCGGATGCCGTAGACCTCATTGCAAACCATCAGCGAAGGATGAGGTCCTTATCACTGTTGGTGTAGAACATCGCCCCCCCTTTTTCGAGGACGATGGCCAGCTTGGTCTGCACCTCATCCTGGATGCGGTCATGGGGCTAGGAGTCTAGTCAAGATGTCCTTGGCGGTTTCCAGCTGGGAAGCGGGCCGTCCACTGCCTCGCCACCTCGGGGTCCGATGGTGGGCTTTGTCGGGGTGGTTGGCCACGGCGGAGCGCTTAAAAGCCCGCTGCTGAGGCTTGCGGCGTTACGCCCGCGGCGTAGCTCGGCGGAGGCGCCGAGTTTCCACTCTTCGGAGGCGGAGTGCCGCTACTGCTCATGGCTGCGAAGGGCGAGCTAAGCGGAACGCTGCAGCAGACTCTGAGACGGCTTGAGATGGCTTGAGGCAACATTGTTTCGGCAAGCAAACCTCAAAGCACCAGGCAATCACTTCAAGGTCAGCGCAAGCCCTCCTGACACGGCATCGACGCTCTTCTCTCTCCCCTTCCTTATAATTAACTCTCTCGCAGGCCGTTATAGTTATAGCACGCGAACCCGACACTTCACAGCCGCCTGGCACCTTTGCAAGCCTTACTACCTTTCAAGGTTTTGGGGGTGCGTTGCTGGGGCCGCAAAACAGGTTTTGACTCAGTTTTGACCTGAGCAATTCCCTAGCACTGGCGCTCTAGGGGTGCTAGGGGCGGCGGACATATCGGCATACTACGGCATACTGGTACGCGTGCACAGCATCAGACGTCCACCCTCCGAAATGCTTACCGCGCCATCAACAAGAGAGAGCACGCTTCCTAGCAGCTTCCGGCACCTCGGTGAGTAACACAACCCAGGGCGTGCGTACGCAGACTTGAACCAATGACTAAGGCCGGATGTACTGATTCACCTGACTGCGCCAGTTGGCGGGCAAATTGGGAAAGTCGATCCGAGCCACGGCGCAGAGCGAGCGAACGCCTCCGCGCATTCTCGAGGAACTGCTCCCATCTCAGATCTCCTGAGGCGGCGGACCAGCCTTTCGAGACAAGGTCTTGCTTGTGTCAAGCTCTTCCCTGCTCGGCATCCTGGTTTGAATACATTGGGCGCGTGGCAAACCCGAACTCGGCTTCGAGCCGCTGTACCAGTTGCACAAGGAGCTGCCTTTGGAAGAGCCAGGAGCGGACGTTGGACACAAGCTCTCCTGACCAGGCGGATCGCCGGTGGCAGGCCAGCACTACGAACGCAAACAGTTTCCATGATCGAGATGATCTCGTACTCTGCCAGCTGACCGCGCGCCACTTGAAAGGCTGTGAGGCGTCCCTCTTCCTGCCGGGACCGCCACGAGAGGGATTGCCTAGCCACAGCCTGTTGCCGGGGCTGGGTGGCTGGGGAGCGGTTAGCCAGATTCTGTTGCCTCATATTATGACATCGTTGATGAGACAGAAGAGATGGCACGGTTGGGGTTCCGAAAAGTTCTGTTTTCGGAACCCTGCCTAGCGGCCTAGCGGACTCTCCGACACATTGGCCTCAGACAACCCTCGGAACGAGGGTCCACGAACGGAGCGGCACCAGCATCCTTCCAGGCTTTGCCCAGCAGTTTGGTCTCGTAAGCACGGACTGACCCACCTCTTCCCGGCACAAGGGTTCCTCACACCGAGTTGCCATTTCACGGAGGCACTCATTGCGCAAATCTTGCGCAAGTCTGAGAGGAAGGACTCGTTCTTGGCTAGGGCGAGATGGTCCGTCAAGGCATCAAGTCTAGCTTCCTGCATGCAAGGCTAACGGCGGCTAACGACTGACCCACTCTCGACAGCGTGCGGTGACTGCTGGGCAAGGCGAGTCGCCGGATTCGCTGGTCGGTGTGACCCCGCAATTTAACACCATATGCACATGATGCTCGGAGGTGCCTGGGAAATGTTGTGTCCATAAGGCCCGAGCCCAAGGACAAAGACAAGTAGGCGTCGTGTGGATTCGGCAGAGCCATCCGTGCGCAAGCCCCCAAACACACGCGTGCATCGGAACCCGAGGAGGCCGAGCTTTCGACCAAGAATTCTCGCCCGGTGGACGCGAGCGTGACACAAACCTTAGCCGTGAAATCAGCAAGCTCGTTCCCTGTCTGCTCGGCCGGCCGAGATCCGTCCTTCTCGGGCTTAGCGAAGGTGCGAGTCCCACCACGAAGGCGCTATGCCAAACGTTAGGGGCTCCCGGGTCAGCGGGCTCGGTGAAGTCAAGGAGGCGTTGGTGAATCTGGGGGACGAGTCGGGAACACATTATGCTCTTTTGCGGGCCAGTTTAGTCAGCGGGTCCTCATAGATTTCCACACGGTCAGCAGTTTGAGATCCTGCAAAGAACTCTTGAACCCGAACTCCTTAAGCGAAAGGAGCACGCGACTGGAGTGGGCCACCCCATCCAGCATCGGTACGTAGGGCACCCGAGGTGGTAGGGGTAGCGAAAAGGCCGGTAGGTGACAATCCGAAGATCACCCTTACAGAGGAACTTGCGCGGTGTGGCGGTATCGTCATCACCGGGTGAGCTGTCCACAACCGTCAGCAAGACGAGGAGATAGTCGGCAGCGGCATTCGGTGCCATTGCTCAATTGTGGTAAAACCCAGTTGCGAAAGAATTGAGCCGAGCTCTTGCCACGGTTCAAGGCACTCGGCACTCAACAGCCGAACTCTACGTTATCTTTAACAGTCAAACGTCTTTCAGACTGTGGAAAACACTTGGAAACCCGTGACCGGAACAGTGGACAATACCAAAGAGAAAGCGAAATTATGTGGGCGAGGCGAAAGCAACACAAAGCATTTTGTCCTCGCTTCAAAGTTACTAGTGGCCAGGAAGTAGACTGCATAACAGTGCAGAGAACATGGCAATCTTCAACGTCAAATTAAGAAGACGTTTTTTTGAAATCATCGCTCTGCTTTTGCCGAACTTTGGCCTTGCCACGCTCCGTAACACGAAGCTCCCCATGCACGACGCCCTAAGCCATAAGGTTCAAAGCTTATCAGGAGCACTTGTAGCAGGAAAATCGGAATAGCAGCACTGTCAAACTACTGCATAGCTCATGGCGGTGCTCTCTTGCAAGCTGTTCCAAAGCCCTCGAGGTTAGATCCGCCAACGCCAAGCGTACTTTCGTGAATGCATGTTTTCTTCGACAATGCAAGCAGAGGTGGTGTCACCTCGGCCACGCGGTTGGTCGCACCACTGTACCTTAGTCATCTACCCAAGACCACTGCAGCGGTCTGCAGCTGCTGCAGTTCACAGGCTGACTTTCAGGGTTCTCGTGGCCGAATAAAGCCATGGTGCAGAACAGCGGATTTACGATCGTGCGCGTGCTGACCTTGTCTGCAATTGCAAGCATCACGAAGTTACAACGTCTGCAATAGTCTTCTGCCGATGTATTGCCTGAGGCATCTGGGATCTCTGTGGCCTCTACATTCTGGTGACGATGAGGGGAAGTCGCTGGAGAAGTATTGGTTCTCGATGAAAACAAACCTGCAAGCGGAAAAACAAGCTGCAATTTACAAGTTCTTGTTCTGGAATGTGCTGCATATCTGGAATACTTCTCAACAGGGAGGTGTCCCCACAGTTGGCAACATTTTCCAATTATGGGGCATTCGAAGCACGATCATGCTGAGCGCGGCATGAAGTCTATGCCAACCGGGCAGGAGATTCGAGGATTGAGAGTTTGGAGGCAGGGAGACGCCTGTCAATGCCAGTATCCCTCACAGTGATCCGCTGAAAGCGTGCAAACTGGCGAATCTACACTGCTAGGAAGCTGTCATTGGGTCGGCGGTCAAACAAAACTCATCACCCTACGCTGGTGCCGTGCCTCTTCGCATTGCGAATCATGCTCAGAAACGTTGCGTAGCTGTCCTGCAGCATTGGAGCTGAATCTTCCTCAGCCGTTTTAACAAACTCCGTTGCGAATATGCAGCTTGGCGAAAGTCAGAGCCAAACAATGAATGCAAAGCTGCTTTATGCTGCTTTCGTCTGGTTTAGTTGCGGGAGCAATGCATCTTCGTTACTGACCTGCCACATGTCGCCCCGAACCAAAATCAGCAACTGCGGTGGTTCTGCAGCTCGGATGGGGCGCTTTGCTGTTTGCTACTTCACCTTGCAGAAACCCAGCTTCGGCAGGACTTCTTAGAAGACGGAAATCCTGAACATTTTTAGTCGACATCCCACCGCTCAGGCAAGTTTCGAATTCCCTTACCATGAGAAGCTCCAACATCTGCATGTTGCCTGCATCTTGTTTCTTTGAGTCCCTCACCTCATCTTCTCGTAGTGCTGCTTCGTATGTCTTTCAAGGTCCAGCAACAGTTGCTCCGGTAGATGCACTTCACAGCTCGAGGCGGTTGCGCTTGCGTGATGTACATGCTCGGCAGAAGTCCTGCACGGTGGTAGCCGTGCCTGGGCAGAGCATACCATCATCTGAGTGGTATGAAACGAACGACAAGATCTGGGGCTTGTTCCCATCCACATGTTGGTACCAGACAGCGTGACTTTGCACATTTGTTCTCCTCCCTCATAAGCAACACCTGGCTTCTGCGCCACATTTCTGCTGCGTGGCAGCACAGGTCTTTTGACGGACCCACCTTCCGGCAGCCACCTCGCCGTGAGTGTTGCTCCATCATGGTGAAGAGTCTCCGGGTAAACAAACGTTCAACGAGCAAGAAACACGTCGCCCCAAAGCAATCCCAACCTGCGGAGAATTGAATATCCGCACTCCTGGACTGTAGGCTGCATGTACCACAACCTAACGGATCTCGACCCAGCCATCATCGTGGCAGCAATCGCATGATCAGCATGGAACGCTGGCAGCGAAGTGGCGGATCCCATCCAACGAGATGGCTATCTCTTCCGGGACCTGCTCAGCTTTACACATCGACAGGTCTCGCGTGCAAGCATTCGCAACAGAACCCCGCGCGCAATGTGCCTGAGCATCCAGCGCGTGAAGACCAACGATGTCCACCTGGAGTTATTTGGCCACGGAAGAGAACAAGGCTGCACGCAAGTCGCCTCATCAGCCTTTCCCCTCTTGAGGACGACGAACCTCTGTTGAAGCTGCTAGTCCTGACTTTACGGATGCAGTCGATCTGAGTATGGGACTTATCCGCGTTTGGATCCAAGAACTCGCTTTGTATCTGGTAGATGCAACGAAGACAAGCAATGACGCCATACGGAGATGCCCAAACATGAGTCATCGACCTGAGGTGTCTCGATTCGGATTTGGCGCTCCTGCAGCGCTTCCGGCATGCCACCGGCTGTCGCGCTTCGAAGTGATGTTGCTTCATGACTTATCGCATCAGCAACTCTCCTCTGACGATCCGCCACGCAGGCTGAGCTGCAGTTTCCCAAGGATGCCGGTGTTCGGCATCTGGTTGCCTGACTCACAGGAACATATGTATGCTCCAAATGGCATCCTGCAGGACTCCAGGGCTTCCACATTGCTCATCCTTCCAGAGGCTGTCGTGCAGCGCACCCTTGACCTGAGCTCCACAACAAGATCACCGCCTTTCGCTCTGAATCGCTCTGGATGCTAAGGGCCACGACATTCCACAACGTACTGTCGAGAATCCTTAACTCACAGCAAAAGCGAAGAGCAGTCGACAAGCTCCGGCGAGTCGCGTCGGCATTTTTCATTGCATGCAATCAAGCTTCGCTGAAACAGGCCGCATAGCTTGGGCACGCGCCAAGCCGACAGATTTGCAGTAAGTCCTGCCGTGTGGCACCGGACAGCGCTCTTCTAGCCACGGTGGTGCTATATCCTTGAAGCCAAGGCTAGGCCGTACAGCTACTCGCACATGCAGACCTTTGCGCCTTTCTCACTCTCCCACCAGAATCTAGTGCACAGAAGTGGCATATAGTGGCATGCAATGCAAGGTCAACACGGAAGCAAGACTGAGGCTACCCCTGCTGCCAGTCTACTGCGGACGGTCAAACAGTAACAGTGTCCGAGCAAGTGGATTTCTCATAAGTCTGCTTCGGAACCATCCAATTACTCCGGATTCTTCAACTTCAACAACCCACCCACTTCTGTAAACACCAGGCGAGGACACAACTCACGAGAAGTCGAGCATGTGAGGTGTCAAACTGCTGTCACGTTGCACAGGAGCCCTAGATTCGAATATGCGGCCCTTGCTCGCCTTGCTCTGTCCATTGCCGGATTCGCTAGCTGCTAGCTCGTCTGACGTCCATTGTTGCCCCTCCCACGGATTAATGGCAGCGGACCACCAGCGCTCCACCATGATCATGGCGACTTGCTCTGCGGCACGTCCTCTCACCTGCAAAAAGAGACTTCGCTAGCGGGAGCGTGGCATGCGTGGCTCTCGAGGCCCAGCCTTGACCATGGCATCCTCACAGGATGGACTTGAGATATCTTGAGACATTGCAATTTGCACACACAGTCTCGCGACGGTCAAGCGGAGGTTGTCCTGCCAAGGCTTTTCGTTTCCGGTGGGATGGCGTGCGTCAACAGCCACCTGAACTCGCAGGTCGTCATTGCCTTCGATCACATTTCCGAGATCCTGCCTGAACAAGACGTGGATCAGGCCGGATGTGTTCCGGCCTGCGACACAACGGATCGTCCGCATTTCAATGCTGAGCTCATCCAGTTCCGCATGGCAAACTTGGGAGTGCACGTATCGTGCCGATTCTCTGCAAAGTCAATTCCGCCGACAAATGCAACCTGGCGTTTGCATAACTGAAAAATCTAAGCACTTTGAAGCCTTGAAGGATCTACTGTCAGCCAACACGTAATGACCTCGAACGTGTCACAAGCTGAGCTACAGGCCCTGCGGTCGAACACATATGACTTGATATGTGGCCTAAGCAATGAACTTGCAGCGGAAACTCAGGCACTTCCACCCTTGTGAAGGCAACCTTGCCTACGCCTGCCTGGGGGGCGGCCGGGGCCTGTATCCTAAGTTTATGACTTGCCAAGTGCAGCTACCCGCTGACTGAAATGGTGGACTGTCCTAATGTTGAGCGGTGAGTCATACTCATGATTGCTCGATTACCAGTCCACTTGCCCCTCGATACGTCAACACTTGAATATCGCGAAAAATCGAAAGATTTGCCTTTTCACAGGGGTTCCGGGTCCGAAACCAGCTTTCCCGCAAACTGCATGGCATTGCTGCATGATACATAACACAGACAGGAGATCGAGACATATCATCCGGATTAGCGGCGCTGCCTTTTGCAAGCTTCTTGTCTGGTGAACAAGCTCGTAACAATTTGTCCGGCAGATGTGTGCGTGGGATGAGCAGACGGATGCGGACGGTGTAATAAAAATGGAGTGATTGTGGATACATCACCTACATGAACAGTGGAGAACGCCCCGACCATCTCGAGCACTAGGTGCATCGCCGCTAAATGACCAGATCTCCACACATTCTTGAGGCAGCAGGAACAAATTCATACTTCGCGGAGTTTTCCTCCCCAGCTGCGATGTGTTACATACTGCGCTAGAGTCTGACAAGTGCCTGCTAGGCTTACGATATCCACTGCTTTGGTTTTCCAGCTCTGGCTTTGCCGTCTTCGGGATTCATGCCGTTTTTCTCGTTCAGTCTCCAGGTTGTTCCCCACCCTCTGTACAGGGCTGTTTCATTTTGAATGCCTCCCTTCTTTTCGCACATGTCCTGGTTCTCGCTCCGCTTTGCGCCCTGAAACCCAAGAGGGTCCGTGGAGTGCCCACCCCAGCTGAGTCTTGTCAGTCCACCCCCAAGACCCCACCAAGAGTGCTCAACTCCAGAGTGTTCCTCGCGGGCCTCCGCCGGGAATACCTGGAGATTACCCCGAGGGTATCAAGAGTGTGCCGCAAAGTGTCTCATGATTGCCCACCCAGAGTACTGCCCCATTTCAAATACCACCCCCAGAGCATCCCTGGAGTGCCCGCTTGCCCACCCCAAGAGTATCCCGCAGGTGTTGTCTGGAGAGCCCGCACATATCTGCGGAGTGTCCCGAGGTGCTTGGAGGTCCTGCCGAGCCCACCCCAAGAGTTGGATCTTACATCAGACGTATGGCTACATTCGCACACCCCGCTATCCTGGAAGGGCCAAGAACGGATGCGAGCCCAAGCAACAAAAATCCTTGCCGTAACTCTGGCATGCGATCTACTCCCAAATGGGCCAGCGCGTGTCGGCACATGTCGGAAGAGCTGGCAGATCAACAGCTGACATGGCTGGCATTCGGTGCAGCCACCTGCACCTGCGTCCTTTCAACAACTCCGCCCCGCAAGTCTCCAGGTAGTGGGAAGAGACGCAATACTAGACCAACGAGGTGCTACTTTGGCTACAGACAGCGAGAAAAGGAATCTCATGTCTCCTTTGCTGAAGACCTGCGTTGTTTGGACTTTCTAGTGTCCGATGTCTTGCTTGGTCACTTTCTTCCAGCTTTTTGCATTGTCTCTAGCTTTTTCTTTGTTTTGTTCTAGCTTTTCCTAGGTGTTCGTAGCTTTGCCTAGGCGTTCATAGCAAACTTGGAGTTGGGAGGCCTTGCAACAGCCAAATGGCGAGAGTTGAGGAAGTGCTTCGCTTGGTGGAGAGTGAAAGTGTGTGTCAGGAGATATTGGGCAAGAATGCTGGATGGGATTTGTGAGCTGCTTATCATGGTTCGTAGCTTTTCGTAGCTAACTGTAAGTTTTGTTTTGAATCTTCGCCTCAGCTCGCAAAGACCTCATTGGTCCAGTACGTAATGTGTTGGCTTGAGAATTCGAGCCGCGAGTGGACCATGCGGAGTGGTTTGCATGCGAGGTCAGTGAATTGGAAGGGAGTCTCAGTGATGCGGGAGTGGAGGCGCACATGAATGGTGGAGTGATCTTCTGCTGACAGCCACATAACATAATCACAGAAGTTGCAGCTTCTGGGACGGATTGTCGCCAAGTCAAACAACTTCCGCATCCCACTGCACTAGCTTTCCTGATCCATGATTTGTGCTCTGGCGTGGCTCGGCTGTCTGCTCCAAAAGCATTAAAAGCGCAGTACACAGAGTTCACACAGAGTTCACTCCGGCTGAAGGCGAAAAGCAGAGCTGCTGGCAGATAGAACACTGAAGCAAGAAGCTGCCGGCCTGGCCACAGGATGCGGTAACTCTTGTAACTCCATGGCACCGTGATCCTAGAGTTGCGAGAGCCTTGCAGCAAATAAAACAAGCACGTCCTGCTCTTGGTGACATACAGCCCCTACTTGAGACTTCATTCCAGCTTCATCATCTTCTTTGTCTACTGCGCCTTTTTGTCATGTGTGTTTCTCTCGTCTTTCGGAACCTTGGGTGACAGCGCCAGCTCGCTGAAACGCCAAAGTGGCCCAAACGCGCTCCCTATTCGAGAGGGGGTGTGCGGCACACCAGTAGTTGAACTGTTTCATGGGCGTGCTTCGCTGGTATCGTCGCCCTTGCTTGTGATGCGGCGCAGCGAAACCGAGGGAATTACAGATTTCCACTGTTGCCTGGAATTTCTTGACGGTGACTTCAGCAGTTCTGACATGGTGCAACCGGGCGATAGGCACTACTCGCTGTGGTAGTTGCTTTTGCCAACGCACTGTTGAGATTTTCCCTGCAAAGGACAGTCTCAGAACTTCCCATCTCAATGTCCTTCAGGGAGTTATCAGGGTTTGTCGAAGCGCAGTGGTGTGCAAATTTCAGGATACCCAACTGGATTCCGCCGGCACGGTGGTCCTTTCGTCCGCCATCAGCACTCGACATCCGATCCCGAACACTGTTACGACTTTGCACAACAGCTGAACTCTAGACGGCAGGCTAAACTTCGTAAGCATCGGGCGTCAAGATCGAACACTAAACTGACTTCGAGGCTGTCCCATCCCATGGACATTGCCTGTGTCCAGCATCAGATGCAGGTACTGCTTCCCCTGGCGAGGCACTGCCGAGGAAGCTTGGTTCGTTCGATCTGCGCACATCCCTTGGCGCTGGCCTCAAGACTAAGACTGAGCAACCCGGGCAATCTTACAGTTTAACATGGCCAGTCAGCTCACATCATGCAGCACAGAGACTTGGACTCCCTCCTTGAGGCTATGCAAGCTTAGCAATGTCTTTCATCCCACGACTCGAAGCTCATCCCATGGCCAAGCACAACTTTGCGAATCAAATCAATCAAGCACGAAGCCAGCACCTTCTTGTTTCAAGCTGCTCAGCATGCATCCTCTCTTACGCGGTGCTGCTCGAAGACAAACCATGCCAAATCGTCATCGCCGTCATCGTCATTCTCGTCGTCATCATCGTCAGTGTCGCGCTCTTCGACAGCGGAGTCCAGTCGTTTAAGTTCACTTGCCTGATGGGTTTTATTTGCACAGCGCAGTTCCTCCCAAAAGCTCCGCAGCAAAACATAGCGATATGCCTGGTTTGCCAAGAACTGGAAATAGATTTGGCGTTTCTGCTGCTTGGCCGCATCATACAGGCTGCTGAGAAGCCCGATGTACACATTCATCATGATCACATTTACCACGAGGCTCAACAGCACGAACATGTAACGCAAACCATCGTGGAAAGGTTTGGGAAGTTCTTCCTCCAGCTCGGCGGCAATGGTCCCGCGCTTCACAGAAGCGTTCAGAAACTCACCCCTGCCTTCCAACTCGCCCATGTCAAAGTCAGCTAAGACTTCCAATCGAAAGATGCGAAGAAAGCTCGACAGCACTTCTTGCCATGCGACATTCCCGAAACCTCCGTCAACATCAATATCTTCCGTGGGAAATGCATAGTAGGCATGGAAAGAACCAACAACTATGAGCGCCAGGAAAAGCAAGAAGTACAAAGCTTCGGGCTGACTGACAGCGTTGAAAGCAGGGAGCACATTCTCACCAACTGTCCGAATGCCTAAGCAGTTTTGCACGAATGTCAGCCAGCGAAAGAAAATCATGAAAGAGATCAGGTTGATGTATTCGAAGAGATGGCAGGACTTCGCATGGCGGCTGCCCCTGCATCCCTTTTGCCCGTGGTCCAAGACCATCACCAGTGCCCATCCGAGGACACAGCAACTGTAGATCTGCAGGACCATCGTAAACAAGTTTTGAGCAGTTGCAAATTTTTGCAGCTTCCAGAGGCAACTGGTGTAAACATCCATTCCCCGAAACAGCTGTGAGTGCTGCCATGCGACTATCAGAGAATGGAGGCAGGATCTTCCAGCCAGCAGGCATAGGACTGCTAAAACTGATTCGGATGGGTACATGTAATGGCGTAAGGATGCGCTTGCGTCGACGAGGCCAACGAGAATAACAACATCTGTTGCTAGGTCAAGGAAGAAGCATTGGTTCTCTAGAAGCCAAGCTTGAATCAAGATGCCCTGTCCAAGCGTGCTTGTCAGCACATGGCTGCGTGTCCCACAGTCAGCGAAGGCCCGGATCATCATCGCCTGCTGACGGCTGCTCGCTTTAAAGAGCCTCAGGGCCGGGCTGTATGCAAAGCTCGCTTTGCAAAATTGGAAGTGGTTGCCCCTGCCACGCGAGCAGCGCGCTCGGCATGACCGCCCAAAGTTGGGTTTGTACTCGTGTGGGTACTGGTAATCAAAGGACAAATAGTGTTGCAAGTGCCGCTTCGAGACAAATACATGCATCCATTGCCAGCTTGCTGGCATCCATGCTGAAACAACGGTGCCATCAGACTGACTCAGAGCCGACTCTAACGTGTCGCATTCATCTTGCCCAAGGCTCTGCAAGCACGCCAACTGCTTGAAAGACTTTACAGTACCAGGAGTGTCATAATTCTCAAGCTCATCATCGAACACTTCAGATGGAACTTCTTTAACCAACGCATCCATGAGTCTCAAGAGATATGGCTGGCCAGCCATGGATGAAAAGCTCTCCAGGGCAATTGTCAACTTGATCGGCGTCCAAGTGCGGCATTGCTCCGTCCACTGCTCAAAGGACGCTGAGCCCTTTTCCAGAGCAACAAGCTCTGCACACAGTTCTCGTCTAAGGTTCACTCCGTAGCGGGTCGCATCACCAACCGCTTGCCACCAAATACGCTGCTCGAGCAGCGTGTCACGGTTCTGGGAGCTCGGCTCGCTTTCACTCCCCGAGCCTGGGCCCCCGTCGAGACGCTGGGCCAGGGCCATTAGGGAAGCTCTGTATGTATGTGTGCTGAATACGGCTTTCGCTGGCCTCTATTTATGAATCTTCAGAGATCACTCGAGAGAAAATTGATTGTCGTATGCAGCCACAGTGCCTGAAGCTGAATCTACATTCAAGCAAAATCAGTCGCAGCGCAGGAGGGAGCAGACAACCTAGCCGCTAGGCTGATCTGTGAAGGCCTGTATCCGTGCGAATGTAAACGTAAGGTCCCAGGCTGCACACTTGCAAGTACGCAAAGCAGCCTCGCCCGCAGATTCAAACAATAGCTCGAACTCGTGATCCTCGCAGCATGAGGTATGTAGTTGGCTCGACCATAACATCATAAATACGAATGCCAAACAGATATGGACCCGTGTGCGGCTAACTGGTACGTCCTTGCAGCGCAACATGTGAGACGATGGTAGAGATACATGCCCGTTTTTCTTCAGGAGTTATTGAAAATGGGCGCAGCTTGAGAGCATCATTACTAATTACTCGGCCACTGTTTCTTCAGTCATGGTCTGGGCAATTCCTGCAGACGGCCTTGCTGGATTCCACGGATGTAGTCGACCTTCGAATTTACATGATTTACGGCCCAGGCTGCCCCGAGCTTCGAGCAAGCCACTAAAGTATGTGAATCCATGTAAACGGAGAGGTCGTAGAGGTCAAATTAGTATCTTGATCCCAAACTACGGCTGCAACAAACTCTCTGCTGAAAGCGCCATGTACACGACCAACGTTGGGTGTGCTTAAAACTCGAATTTTGTATGTGCAATGAACGTCATCAACGCCCCACGCGAGTCTGAACGCGTGAACAGTCGGCGACGGTGAGGTGATCATTCCATGTCCATAAACCAAGAAGCCAAATTGTCAGTGTGGTGTAGCAGTAGTCTGGGCATGTCAGCTCACGGGGCATGAGCAGGATTAGCGGCCACCAGTAGCAAGCAGACGGGCTTCGAGCTACAGAAAGTTGCCATTAAGTTCGAACGGCGTCCGAAGCACTGAGCGAACATCGGCCCAGACTACGGCTCCCGAACACTTGCGAACAGATAGAGGTCCTGTCCTGAAACAATCCCAGGTACTTCTCGGAGGCGGCATTGTCCTTACAGGCTTCCGGAAGATGCCGATTGTCCACAGCTTGCTGTTTCAGGGACATTAATGCTGCTCCGTTTGGCACGGTCTCTTCGTTAATGTCAGATTTCCGAATGAAAATGGCACACCAAAAATCACGCACCCCAACCATCAGACACAGCAAAAGACCTGTGGCATCCAAAAAGAAGCCAGACAGGAGGCAGCCACGACCCCCACCGGGCGCCTTGCACGGGCCCATGGGTGAGCGATCGAGGTTGATCGAAGATAATAAGATGTGGTCCTCAAGGATCGCTTTGACCAAGTTGAAATTGTAGAACGGGCTCCGCAGGCAGGCGGTGGGCAGGGGTGAAACCGTGAAAATTTGGCTGCGTCAGTTCGTCAGCCCAATTAAGTGTTGAAGTCATCCTTCACGTGCGAGGGGTTAAGCTGCATACCATGAAAGTGTAGCTGAAGCAAGATCTCCATGAGGATGACAGACGGGGGCATCTTTTTGGATCTATCATTCTGCAAGGAATGCACATTCCCTTGGTTGTCGCTGACCAAGGGGATCTGCAAGCTCGAACAAAGGCAGGGGCTTTCTCCATGAGGAAGTGACAGAGAATCTGTACCGAACATCTCGAGGGCTGCGATGCGTTTCTTGGTGCAGTCCTTGTCGAAAGCCCATGGGTGTCGATCTTCCGTGACCGGGTACTGGAACCTCCAGGCTGGAGAGCCATCCACCAACGTACGCCAGGCCATCATCATACGCACTGGCGTCACTAGCCCCCGACCAATGGCAAGCGGTGCATACGGAGAAGTAACAGGGAGGCCTCTCCCCGCAGTTAAGCAGGCCTTCTTCCGAGAACAAAACGGTTGCAGAAAAGGCTGCAGAACCTTGCCATCTCGAAAGTCCTCCCAGATACGAATGACTAGAAGATGTATTCTCACGTACCATCTGCACGCAGGGATCCCAGAGGTCAATTACGAAACCAAGCAGGGAGCGTCTTTTTCCTTCTAAGGGGTGTGCCCAAAGCTAGAAGCAGAAGGCAACAGGACGTCGCCATGATTCTGGAGTTGGACTTCCTCAGCAAAGTCGTCCACAAACACAACACCCCAGCCAATCTCCGGAAAAACGGCAAAGCAAATAATTACGAAGGAGAATGGCCGCCAACCTACCCCAGTAGAGCCGGGCACTGGCCATTCCATAAATCCCACTCGTATTTACCCACCATTCATCACCCAACTGGGCAACCTGGTACCGCCATTCTCGAAGTAGTACCTTCACTCTCGTCTTGGTCACGTCAGCTTCGAGGAGGCACCATTCATCGTCAGGCTGCGCTGGATCCTATGTCCGGGGATATTGTGCTCCCCGGCAGTTCCCGCCCCGGGGCTCAACACCAACGGCACCTGTATTTAGGAAGGCCGTTGGGGCTGCGGTCTTGCAACTTTTAAAGATGGAGCGGACCTTGTCCGATTCCTCTATCCCTGCCATGGGGCATGGGCAAAGTTCTTTTTCCGTACAGCAGGGTAGGGTGTTCACTCTTAGAGGAACCCCCACGCCCAGAGTGCTGGAGTAATCGGTGCCCACGTCCTGAGAATCAAGAAGTAACTGCTGAATGGCATCCAAGCAAAACAGCTCTCAATCCGCCGAAGCCCTGCGTCAGGGGAGAATGTTGTCCCGAATCTCCTTGAGGACCGAGTCGGGGAAGGGGCTGCTGTTGGGTAACCATGGGCCTTCCCGTTTGTGCGGGGCGAGAAAGTCTTCCCCTTGAAACCAGCGCTGCCCCCGCAACCTGGGGCACAGCAAGGGTGGGTAACGGGCGCCGCCACCAGAGCCGCGCAGTGAGAGCGCTCACAAGGTCCCAGGTCGGCGGACGCCGGTCCTGCACGGACTGGGTCCTATGTGCTGGATGAGTGCACATCTTGCCACTCCACCCTCGCGAAGCAAGGTGGTTGCTCAAGACGAAGGAGTGGATCAGGGCTTCAGTGGAGCGAGTCCTTGACATCTACCAGATTTGCAAGAGGCAGCTGGCTCAAGAGAGGCTGCTTGCGGCGCTTCACAGCTCCGCCCGTCGCAGAGTAGGCCATGGAAGCCTGGGCCGCATCACACGAAACGAAGGCGGTGCTGATGTGCCCGCTGTGCTTTTCAGACTGGTCTCGCATTGAGAACACGGTGGAGGGGCGGCTGGGCCCAGCACCAACGTCCACCGCGGCAGCTGCCTTGGCCAACAGATGTGTTTTCCATTCCAGCTCGCACCGTTCTCGATATAAGAAGGCGGCGGCAGGCCCTGCACAGGGACAGACCATATAGGAGCACCGAGACCTCCAGCCGCAGCGCATGCAGGCAGGGGGCGCTGCGCGTGCCAAGCTGATGACACCGGTGTCAGATGAGCTCGACACTGGAGCCCGGTTGAGATGAGCGCTTTCAGCCCGGAGCACAACCCCTCTCAGCGAGATGAACGTTGAGCTTGGACACCAAGCCAGCACAGCAGCCCCTTCTCCGCGACCTTCCGAGCTTGGCGGCTGCGCACAGAGAGGGGGAGCGCATCTCGGGCGGGGTCTGCCTTCCACAGGTGCCTTTGGTCCTGGAAGCTGGAAGCCGTTGAAAGAAAGAGCATGGGCCCAAGTCCTTCCCGGACGCTGAGAAGATGATGCTAGAGCTGAGAACCCACATTGAGCCCACCTTCCGAGGCCCTTCCTCAAGCCACTGCCCTGATAGAGGATGAGATCATGGTTCAGATCGCCGCCGCCCAGGCCGGCCCCATGCAGAAGGAGATGAGACCCACTGACCCACCACCTGGGATTTGGTCAGCCTCTTCTCGATGTTCGGGAACGCGTATACCACTCGCCACCTTTACGCGGTTTGGTCGCACCCCCCCATCACCATCCAGGTTCACAGGGTTGAAGAACAAGACGGCCAACGACCAGCGGAGGAGCGACCACGGCCCTCATGAAGGAGGCGAAAAAGTTCGTTGTCCTGCACGGCCTCCCGAAGCCCACCAATGACGCTGACTGGAGAAGCCCCTACCGAGCCAAGGTCTTCATCAACAGGCCCCCTCCACGTAGTGCTCCACCTCCCGGTTGCAGACATCCATGACCATGACTCCAAGCAGCAGCTCCGATTGACAGCGGTGTGCGACGAGCGCATCACCCTCCCCTTGAAGGCCTCCTCCCACTTCCCCGAGATCTACGGGAAGCTCGCTGCAGAGCTCGGTCCAGATGCCGCGGTGGAGGTCAAGATGGCGTGGCGGCGTGGCGCTGCACTGATGACAAAAGCAGCGGAAACCCCAAAACACAGAATGATTCTCAGTGGATCGTATCACAACGGATACTCTCGGCACCTACAATACCTGGATTCTGGCACGCCGCTCGTTTTCCATGCACGAAGACCCACGCACGTGTGCGCCTTTCTGCAGGCTTGAGCGCTAGCTTAAGCCTCCGTGCTGCGACTTCATCGGCCCCAAGAAGCCCTTCAATGCTCTCAACCTGTTGTTGGGAATGACACCTCCAGTTGTGATGCTTTTCTGCGGCTCCACATCCATCGCCGCGTCCGGGGGTCCACTGTCAGGGACACAGTCACCTGTGGCTGGCACGTCCTCCCCAGCAGCCGCAGCAACCTCGACCATAATGTCGATGTCTGAAGGGTCCAAAGCCGCCACAGACTCACCCCCTTCAGGTACAAAGTCGCTTGTGTGGGGGGTGCAGTCACCTCCACATCGGCAGTCGCAGTCCCGGCCGGCTCCTCGGTCACGACCGGCTCCTCCACGAGCACAACAGGCTCGTACAGGCTCCTTCGTCATCAGCTTGGCCATAGCTTGGTCCATCTCCTGGAGTCTCGTGAAGACAGGGGTATCATCAACCCCCACTGCTGCACAGGAAGTAAGGGTGGAATTGATTCCCTCGTCGGAGTGTGCTTCCATGTTGTGCCTCAAGGTTGCACGGGCGATCTCCGTCTCATCCGCCACTTTCTCTCATTCCTTATCGCTGTCTACCTCATCACGAGGAACAACCAAACTCTCAGCCGTTTCCGTGCTGGAGGCCACCACATCCGCGGCAGCAGAGCCAGAAGACATGGCCGAAATAGTAGGAGGAAAGGAAAGCGGGCGAGTAAAACTTTGAAGGACCCACGGTCCCGACACTTGGGCCAAAATGGCAGTAGCCATTTTGGCAGACGTCTCCTGACATAGGTCTTGCAACTCGGCAAGCTCCTGCAAGTAGCTACTGTGTGCCAAGTCATGCCGGAAGTCTTGCCGGCCCCTGATTTCGCGAAGAACCAGCAATCGCGAGAAAGACAACAGTAGTCAGTTTCGACGGGGCGGCGACACGGCAAACACCCCCAAGCACGCAGCAACCTCGTGCCAAATGTATCGGGAAAGGGATAGAAGGAAGATTGTCCTGAAGCTCAAGGCACCTTTCACGGCTCACTTGTCGGAATTACTGTGGCCGAGAGCCTTCAGGTGCAAGGCAGTGCGTTCATTCTGTCTGCTGATACTGCAAGGATCAAGGCCTGCCTGTCGACTTTATCACAGCTTTGTGCACAAGTGTCTATACCCGTGCTGTCTGAATTTCGGTGGACCCACGGATGTCCCAAAGGCCAATTTCTGCATGCCACGGGCACGAGCCTTGCTTTCGCAAGAAAAACTGCTTCTCAGATCCTTGTGCCGTGTCGTGGTGCCTAGTATTGGGCTTCATCAAGAAGACAGTCCCGCGAGCAAATCCGGATCTTTATCCGTGATCCTACAAAATTGTCGGGTACTGGAAAGCCCTGGCACAGACGATCCTGCAGACCTGCACTACAGCTTCGGCGATTTCGAAAGTGTCAACGAGGCGAACTTGATGCAGGGCCCTGCAGGACTCGGTCTATTGATGTTCATAGCCATGTTTGGCCTGCCTGCTTCAGTGCGTCTTTATGACTTTGTGCTGGGTTGCTTGCAGTGGCAGGTTCTGAGACCCCGGCCCAGCCCAAAATCCAAACATGCACTCTTCGTCTGACAGCCTGCACGGGAGGACACTTCTTTTTGTGAACGGAACACTGAACCATATAAGCACTGACGAACTGCCTCACGGATAAGGTCTGCAAGGGATGTGTCCTTGGTACAGGTCCCTTCGTCTAAGCGTTGACAGCACCTTTGCGGCTGAGCTTCAGGTGCTCGATCCGGCTTGGAGCTGAAAATCCTGAGCCTCGTGCTCTGCTGACATCGCGTCGCACACACTATCATCTACGATCACAATCTATCAGGATGTATCACCTGTGTCACGTAAGTGCAGCGCCTGGCCTGGGCCTGAGAATAAAGGGCATAATGATGACTTCGTGCTGCGCTTCCTGGAACTGCCTTAGTCTTTGATGCCTCTTCCGCTGTCGCCACCGAGTCCAAGCCCAAGCGACTGGTAAATCTGATTGAAGAACTCATGGCCGCAGTCGAGAGCTTCCACATCCTGGGCACGGAAGTGCGGCACTAGGCTAGCTCCCTCAGGCCCTCGGAGGGCCACAGCCTTGCAGGGAACCTCGTTGAAAGCCACCAGTCCTGGAAGACGGAAGTGACGACATCTTGTTAGCAAGGGACAGCAAAGCCTGATCCGACATAAAACTCTGAGATGGGCTGCACACTATCGGCACATGCTGGACTAGAACGAGTTTGCTGAAAGTTTACTGCTAAATTGGTTTGCTGGTCACTGCTTCCTTGCTTGTGCGAAGCCCCGGCTTGGATTCAGCTTTATGCAAACGGTTTGCCACAGCGAAGGTGCGGCCACACAGTCCTATCTATTTGCAGGACAGAACCACAGCTCTAAGAGGAAGAGTGGTCGCAGCTGGAGCACACAGATCCTGGCTCTGCAGCTCTTGTTGGGAGCTGCCTGAAGTTTAACACAGTTATGCAATAGTTATGTACAGTAGTTTGACCATGTGACACGAAGAATCGCGGCTGAGTCGATGCAAGCTGACAGGCAAAGTTTAAAGTTTCAGGTCCCGGAAGCAGAGCCGAGAGCAGCCATAGCTTTCGGCGACTTCGCATCACAGCATGCACGGCGCATGCGCGAGACTCTTAGAGAAACGTGGTTTGTGGGCTTAAGTCTTAAGTCTTACGGCCTACAAGAAGCACAGACGCACCATATCCTGTCTCACTGCCTGAAGCCGAGCTGTCATCAGGTGTATTTGAGGCATGCAGCCATTCACACACTGAACTGTCACACCCCAGTGTTCTGCCAGCAGGCGCACTGCAATAGAGCCTTCTGCTCCACAGGATAGGAGCATGCGAGATTCCTTGAGAACATCAGGTACTGTCCCGGCGAGTGGTCTGTGGAAAACGGCATGCTGGACTCGAACTCGAATCGCCGGTAAGCAAAGCTAGGGCTCCTGCGCTTGGAGCAAAAACGAGGTCGTGAATGCTTTTCTCATGTGCCTGCCGCTTTGACAGTGAAACGGTTCGTGCTAACCGCTGGGAACTGTGCATTGACAGCTTGGCCTGCCAGAAGGTCAGAGGCTGGGCAAGTTGAGAAGCCTGCCAACTTGGTCTTCGCACGACCGCTGGAGCTATCTGACATCTCTCGTTGCAGCCGTGATCCCGGACACTTCGGGCAACTTCCGCACCCGACCGCGGCGCCGGTCTTTTCCAGTGCGTTGCCAAGAGCGGTGCCAGGCATTCAGCTCAGAAACCAGACGGCGCATCCAGTTCTGCATGCGCGTCCTCGCAAGTCAAACGATCCATGCATAGAAACGAGCCTTTCAGAAGCACAGACTGGCACGGAAAGTCTGGCCTTCGAGCTCAACTCCTGAAGGCCGCCGCCTGCGTGCAGCCGTTTACAGAAATACAGCCGTTTACAGCCAAAGAAGAGCTTTCTTCCGAGTACAGGTGGGACGTCCAATCGACGTCAGTGTGACAGCAAGTTTCTTCAGAGTCGTTTGCTCGTGGCTCTTGGCTGCCGTCGCTGGTGCGGCCTGTTGCCTGCCTGCTTCGGGCAGCTGCCCCACTGAGGGGCTCCCGCTCACAAAGCCCAGGTTGTAGCAAATTTGCTTCACGATCTATGCACAACCCACAAAAGTTGTGGCATTCTGCAGGCACGACCTGGTGCAGCCAAGCGCAGATGAAAGTGACCTCTGATTACCCAACACACGAGATTGCCAGAAACGTAGGGTGAAAGCGCAGCTGCATGCAGTCTGCACGCGAAGTCGCAACATTGTGGAAGACATGCATACGAACCAAATGCCCGAAGATGCCCGAAGTGCATGTATAACGGGTGAGACGAAGCTTTATCGATGAAGTGAGTAGACAGACCAAGCATAGTGACATAGCATCAACAAATCGCATTCACTTGACATTGTGTCTGCGAAATAGAAACGCTCGAAGTCGCAGACGCCCTGCAAAAGCTAAGCCAGGCTCAGTCCCAGCTAAGGACCTCACAACATGTGCGTAGTCTGGGGACGACACTCTCTCATTGTCACATGTTCCTGCAGTGCAGGCTGAGATGGACACTACTTTTCCGGCTTGTCCAGATAACATGGCATCGAATCCAGCTTGATATTGATCAATCGAATACCTTTCAACTGCCAGGGCAGGCGTGCGCAAGTATGCGCAGTCCTCCTGCAAATCGGCAAGTCTTCCAACGACCCATACTGGCCTGTGCGTAATCACGGGTGCCACTTTGTCTTGAAGTCCACCAACCAACATACTCTGCCTCAGCATCGCAAGCAGATTCCTAGGCCAGTTGCTAGCGTGGTAGGTGATGAGGAGTGCAAGCATACAGTAGAGCTGCTCACAGTCAAACAAACCCCTTCGGTTGATCGCTCCGGCAATGAAGGATTTTCAATTTAAGACATCACTGCACTTCACAAACTTCGGGATTGCTCCTCCAAAGCCCGAAGCAGCCCTTAGATGGAGTTACCCGTGAGGCCTGAGCAGACGCCGATGCCGGCAGGCTGCAGGTGGGTTTGAAACCAGTATACGCACGGAAATTGGGTGCAGCTGAGTCACATCTTGTACCAGGTTTCAAACATTTCTCTGCCGTAGATTCCTTTGATTTCAAGACCCTTGAAGATCACTTGGTCCCAGTTGATCGCGAAGGGCTTCGATGGTATTCCCAACAGAGCTACGCGAGCACCGACATTCAGGGTATCCAGCATCGAGTGCACCGCTACAGGAACTCCAGACATCTCCAAGCCAATGTCGAAGCCTTCCGTCATGTGAAGTTCACGCATCACCGATCTGATTCTTTCCGTGGGATCACCCTGGCCAACATTAATGGCTCTGGTTGCTCCACACTTCATGGCAAGGTCCAAACGGAAATCGTTGATGTCGGTGACTACGACGTGGCGAGCACCGACATGGCGGCAAATTGCCGCAGCCATGACTCCGATAGGTCCAGCTCCCGTGATCAGCACATCCTCGCCTACCAGATCGAAGCTCAAGGCAGTGTGCGTGGCGTTCCCCAAAGCATCCATGAAGCTAGCCACATCATCAGATACACCACTGCTGAGCTGGAAGACGTTGTAGGCAGGAAGGCAAAGGTACTCTGCAAAAGCTCCAGGTCTATTGACACCGACACCAACAGTTTCTCTGCACAAGTGTCGTCTGCCGGCTCGACAGTTCCGACACACGCCACATGTGATGTGGCCTTCTCCTGTGACACGGGCGCCGACTTTGAGGCCTGTCACTTCTGAACCTTATTTTGCTCATGTCGACCACCATTGCTTTAGCATGGCTTTGGCGAAACTTGCAAATCCACTCAGATGGAAAGCGTGCTAAGGCAAAGGCCAAGCTCCTTGACTATTCCACAGTACTCGTGCCCAACGACCATGGGAGTTGGAATTGTTCGCACGGCCCAGTCGTTCCAGTCATAGATATGCACATCCGTGCCACAAATGGCCGTCCTTGGAAGGTCGTGGCTAAAAGGAGGACTACTTGAGTTGTCCTGGCTCTTCGGTATATGACTTCTGTCCTTATTTGGCGGGTTTCTTGGATCCCGAGGGACTTCACAGGATGTCACGTGGTTTCGTGGGACTTGGGTGGGAGAGGTTGCACTGGGATTCGCACAACCTCATGAAGTCGCAGACGATTATCCGACGTGATTCCCAGACGAACCTGGGGCATTTTGGTCTCGGGTGTCATGCACATTGACGCAACATGATTCGACCATAGAAGCACTGACCGGAGAGAACTAATCAAGGAATGTCCCACAAGCACTCAGAACAGCGAGGTAACACCCATCCTCCCATCGTCCGATCATCCATTCATCCCTTCATCCTTTTGCCTGTTCATGCGTTCATCCGTCCGTAACCTGCCAAGAAAAACCTTGCATAAACCACTCTGTAATTATCACCCCGTCTACAAAGCTTCACGGTATGCTGCTCACAGAGTGACAGACTCTTGGTCTTTGCCCGAATGCGTAGCTCAAGGGTTCTCGCTTGAAGGTTGCGGGTCTGGGGGTTAGGAGTTGACGCGGAATGCGTGCGCAGCGTCCGCAAACGTCCGCGAGTGTCGGATTTGGCTGGGAGGAACGCTATCGAACGCTCCCGCTGTGGTGCCGCGCTCAGTTTGCACGAAAATGGCGTTACCGCCACAGTGCCGGTCGCGTTTGGTGACGAGCGTCGTTTCGAAATCGCGCAATTCATTATAAATTACAGCACTTTCGCGACCTGCTCGTCGCTGAAATGCGCTCTCGCCGCAGTGTCGTGCGTGGTTTGAGTCTGAAATCCTGCTCTCGCCACAGTCCCGCTCGCTTTTTGTGTTTGGAGTCGCTCGAGGGCTCCGAAATCGTGGCAGGGCCACACCATTCGGCTCCTCGGCGGCGCTGGACGTGTGTTTGGAATCGCGGCAGTCTAAGGGGATTTGCAGTTTTCGGCGTCGTTCGAAATGCGGGAATTCGCGGCAGAGACAGACTACGAGGGCTTTCGGCGGCTCGAACGTCAGGAAGTCGTGGCAGGCGTAGAGTTTTTGGAGAGCGCGAAATCGTGGCAGGGGCAGAGAGTTTGAGATTTTTGGACGGGAAATGGACTAAAACCCGTATAGTTGTGTCAAAAGTGCCAACAGTCACAGGGATGCGGGGGGTCGTGGTCGCGTTCCAAAAGTGTCAACAGTCACGGGATGGAGGGGGTCCTGGTCGCGAAACATAGAACTGATAATCCTGCTGCTATCGGGCGCGCAACTGCATTCGGGCTCGTGGCTCC